CTAGTTCAAGGACTGAATTTTAATTTTAATCCAATCCTAGGACTACAAATAGATCAATGTACTTCATCAGGTATCCAGTATTATCATGTGAGCAAAATTAAGCAATATAGTTGGTTAATTTAATCATGAATTACTCTCTCTGATATGTGCGAACCCTATATATAGCCCCCCAAAGCCCCTACCATATTCCGCCGCCCTTGCTACGCTTCAATAGGGAGCTTAAGCATGTAGGACGACAACACGACGACGACGGCAACCAATACAATGAGTCAATGAAAAGTGAATAAATAATTAAAGTCCCAGGGGAGTTTCAGACGTGGTCGTCGCTCTGTTTACAACGGCAAATCACAGATTTTCACGTCTTTTATACAACGCCTGCATTTCAAGGCGTAACAAGTGCAACTTAAAATTCGGTCAGTATAGCTCTTCACGAACATAAAGTCAATGTTTTCAGCTTCTTATACTGTATTAAATTCATACGAATTATAATATACAACAAGTTTTCTTTACTATCATTTATTTGAAGGATTTTTTTTTGGCCGTCGTCCTCGTGTTGCCGTCTTGTATGCTTAAGCTCCCTAATAGCGTTAATCTAATTGATAGATCTACTTCTTAATCCATTTTAATGTTAAGGTTCACGGTACCCTGCTGGCAGTGGTTTAGCAGGGTAGGTTCACGGGAGATAGTACCACCAATATCCGACATTAAAACCGACATACATCATGGGAAACAGAACGACGCAAACTTTATCGATCCAACGCGATGCAAGACAAGATTTCCTGGAGGAAGTACTGTGTTCAGACGTGTTTATTGTGATGTCACTGCTCTTTCGGCTGCTATATTCGAGGTCTTCTGGCTCTGTCGTGAGAACTGCTTGCTGTTTGAGTTTAGTTTCGATATTCTCCACTGCCTGTTCATCATCTGTTTTCAAAAACACGATCGATAGATGTTTCTCGAGAGCGCTCTAAGAAATAATTACGAGTTTGGTGAGTTTTCATGTTTGCGGTTACACGCGAATAAATTAAATCGCGCAAGTTGTTACAGTTCTGCAAACAAGAAATTGTAACAAGGTTGTTGTCAAGCCGATATCAGGATGTGTTCGCACTGCTTGTTCCCAGTTGTTGTGACAAGTCTGGAACAAGTTGTTATCACCTTGTTACAAGGTTGATGACGGTAACAGACTTGCTACAAGTTGTTCCAACAAGACTAATATTAACAGGCTGTTCGTAGCAAGCTGTTACAAGCTTGTCATCAACTTGTTAACAACGTGCTACGTGCAGACGATATCAGACTTGTTGGAGCAATTTGTTGCGAGTCTGTTGGCCTCGTCAACCTTGTTACAAGATGATAACAACTTGTTCCAGCGGACTTGTTAACAACTGGGGACAAGCAGTGCGGTTAGAATTATCTTGTTGACAAGCTGGTATAAATATAGTTAGTTTAGTTTAGGTTTCCTCCTGTAGTAACACTGGATCAATAAGAGATGATCCTTACTGGACCTCTAGGAACAAGAGTTTAGAACTGATAAAGCTATCCAGTATAAATAAAGTTAGTTTAGTTTAGGTTTCCTCCTCTAGTAACACTGGATCAATAAGAGATGATCCTTACTGGACCTCTAGAAAATGATCCTTACTGGACCTCTAGGAAGAACAGTTTAGAACTGATAAAGCTATCCAGTATAAATAAAGTTAGTTTAGTTTAGGTTTCCTCCTGTAGTAACACTGAATCAATAAGAGATGATCCTTACTGGACCTCTAGGGAGAACAGTTTAGAACTGATAGAGCTATCCATTATAAATAAAGTTAGTTTAGTTTAGGTTTCCTCCTGTAGTAACACTAGATCAACAAGAGATGATCCTTACTGGACCTCTAGGAAGAACAGTTTAGAACTGATAAAGCTATCCAGTATAAATAAGGTTAGTTTAGTTTGGGTAACACTGGATCAATAAGAGATGATCCTTACTGGACCTCTAGAAAAGACAGTTTAGAACTGATAAAGCGATCCAGTATAAATAAAGTTAGTTTAGTTTAGGTTTCCTCCTGTCGTAACACTGGATCAATAAGAGATAATCCTTACTGGACCTCTAGAAAAGACAGTTTAGAACTGATAGAGCTATCCAGTATAAATAAAGTTAACTTCGTCCAAACGTACCGTAGCAGCACTAGGATTTTTGGATTTGCTTCCTTCCCGCAACGCCAGACGATAGACGAGCATGGTTTCCAACAACGCCATGAAAATAAAACCAAACGACGTAATAACGAACCAATCAGATGCCTTGGCGTACGACACGTTAATTACACTATCGTTGATTCCATCAAGGAGAAAGACTGTTGATAGAATCATCGTTATTTCTAGGGCAAGACGATCGGCAATGTTTGATGACTCCATGAAGAATGCTAGCCAGGAGAGGATGACTAAGAAAGTCGCTGGGATATACACTTGTAATATGTAGTAGCCAGCTCGTCGTTGGAATGATAGTGCCACGGTAAATTTTGACATAGATCCTTGATGAAACAAAGATATTTATTAAATTTTTATGATGATGATATCAGATGGTAGTGATGGTGATAATGATGGTCATGATTATAGTGATGATGATGATGATAATGATGATAATGATAATTATGGTGATGATGGTGATGGCGATGATGTGATGATAATGATTGTGATGATTATGGTGATAATGATGGTAATGATGATGGTAATGATGATGATAATGATGATGATGGTAATGATGATGATAACGATGATGGTAATGATGATGGTAATGATGATAGTAATGATAATGATGATGGTGTTGATGATGATCGTGATGATGGAATAGAACCATGATGATGATGATGATGATCATTATTATTACGATCATGATGATAGAGATATTTGATCATGATCATGATGATAGATATATTTCATCAACCCTACCGGTGCTACCTTCATCAATCTCCTTGGCTTCAACCAGTTCAAATTGTGGAAGTTGATGTTGCCGCACTTCAACTTTCTTTCCAGAAGATGAGAAGTTGACCAGTTTTTTGTCATACGCGACTGTCAAAACAAGTTGCATAACAAAAATAATTTAATGTCCAGTAAGAATAGACGAGTGCTTTGTGAAACCTGCGGTGTTTGGTAGAGTCAAGCTGGAAGCATTCTTTTTCACATGCAACTGAGAAGTAATTATAATCGATAACCTCTCTGCCGTCAACACTACAAATGACGTTTGACTTACATGATGAAAAATGAAGAAAGCATGTTTGTCGATCCATTGGAAATCTATGCAAATCCATTGGACAACTTGTCGTGACATGAACTCTGGAAAACAAAGTGTTAATTTAGTGATTGTGATTATTAATTTAACGAAACGGTTTAATATATCATAATAAACGTTAATAAACGTACTCAATTATTAAGTCATAATGCGCTATTCCATTTAATATCCGTACTTCCCCCCTATCGAGGATCCCTGGAATTTTTCAGGGGTAAAGGGTTTTGAGCTTGGAATTCTTCAAGGGTAAAGGGTTTTTGAGCTTGGAATTCTTCAGAGGTAAAGGGCTTTGAGCTTGGAATTCTTCAAGCGTAAAAGGTTTTTAGCTCGGAATTCTTCAGGGGTAAAGAGGTTTGAGATCGAAATTTTTCATAGCTTGGAATTCTTCAGGGGTTCAGGGTTTTGAGCTTGGAATTCGTCATGGGAGAAGGGTTTTGAGCGTGGAATTGTTCAGGGGTAAAGAGTTTTGAGCTTGGAATTCTTCAAGGGTAAACGATTTTGAGATTGAGATTTTTCAGGGTTGGAATTATTCAGGAGTGAAATATTATAAGTTTGGAATTCTTCAGGGGTAAAAGGTTTTGAGCTTCGAATTCTTTAAGGGTATAACTATGAAACACGTTTAGTTTAGTTTAGTTTAGTTTGGCAAGTTTGGAACTAGCTGTTAACAACTTGGAACAAGCTTGATGGCGTTATCAGACTTGTTACAAGGTTGTTTCAACAAGTCTGATACAGTCATGATTTAACAAGAATGTTACAGGGTTGACGACACAAGGTGGTACCAGTATTGTTATATCATGACTGTATCGGACCTGATAATATCAACAAGGTTGTTACAAATTGTTAACAGCTTGTTCCGAACTTGTTGACAACTTGGGACAAGCAGTGCGAACACAACTTGTTGACGGCTTGTTGGTAGACTTGCTACAAAATGTGAGAATTTTGCGTGTGTACATGTTCAAGTGCAATTTATCTCAGCGCAAAACGCATTATGTCGATGCGCAGTGCCGATGATGGGATCTCAGAGTTATTGAAGAAAGATAAACAGTTTCGAGTGCTCACAGTTGACTGAAATAAATATATCCAGTTGGCTTGATGTTCATATTTACTCCACCGAATCCCTCAAATCTTCTGGCATCCTTCAGATTAACTATGCGAACATCAGGCAGCCATATTTTATCCAGGAAATGTTCTCGGATCTTTAGTCTTTCCGTGGAATTCCATGAAAGTCGGTAGTCGTACCAACGTTGCCTTATAAAGATTATCATTTCTGCTTCCTAGGGTGAAAATACGTGGAATGTATTTGAGTTGTTGTAAACAACGACAACAGCGACAACAACAACAACGATAACGTCAACAACAACGAAGGCGACAACAACAACAACAACAACAACAACAACAACAACAACAACAACAACAACAACAACAACAACAACAACAACAACAACAACAACAGCAACAACAGCAACAACAGCAACAACAACAACAACAACAACAACAACAACAACAACGTCACAAAAACGACGACAACAACGACAACAACAACGACAACAACAACAGCAACAACAACAACGTCACAAAAACGACGACAACAACAACAACAACAACAACAACAACGACAACAACGACAGCAACGACAGCAACGACAGCAACGACAAACAACAACAAACAACAAACAACAAACAAAAACGACAGCAACAACAAACAAAAACGACAGCAACAACAAACAAAAACGACAACAACAACAACAACAACAACAACAGCACCACCACCAACAACAACAGCAACAGCAAAAAACAACCACAACACCATCGAAAACAATAACAAATACAAAGAAACAATAACAACAACATCACCTATAATATGTTATGTAACTGCAAGTAATATTTGTTTAAAAATTACAAACCATGTCTCCTATCTTCAGGACATCAGCAACCACGACCTGTAGCTGAATTTCTAATGGCGTTCCTGGAAATTTGAGGAAAAGGTATAATAAATCATTCTGAGACATTGTCTATACTGGATATCTCTATCAGTTATAAAGTGTTCTTCCTAGAGGTCCAGTAAGGATCATCTCTTATTGATCCAGTGTTACTACAGGAGGAAACCTAAACTAAGCTAACTTTATTTATACTGGATAGTTCTATCAGTTCTAAACTGTTCTTCCTAGAGGTCCAGTAAGGATCATCTCTTATTGATCCAGTGTTGCTACAGGAGGAAACCTAAACTAAACTAACTTTATTTATACTGGATAGCTCTATCAGTTCTAAACTGCTCTCTCTATAGAAATCCAGGAAAGTTTGTCTTTATTTGATTCTGCAGTGTCACCATCCTTACCCGGGAAAGTTGGGATAAACCGTTTGTCATATCCAACCAAAAGACTATCTGCAACATCTGTTGTCTTGTTTAGGTATTTGATGAGCTCAGATCTATGGACACAGAAAGTGGGTAAGTCAAGTAATAATGAATCTTGAGATTAATTACACAATAGGCTAACTACGTATTCAGTTTATACTTTGCCCAGCAAAGCAAGACAAACCGGCGTTTGCTAATTTCTCATCGGATGTTCATCCGGAATTAACCAGAATGTACGCCCGTATTCTTAAAGCTCACTCAATGAGTGGAAGTTCAATCTGAACTTCTCTTGAGTGTCAATGCTGTTTTTGAATAGCTGGAGGGCGAGTAGTCGCACAGTAAGGTACGACACTGTCACTAACCCTTCAGCTATTCCAAAACAGCAATGACACTCAAGAGAAGCTCAGATTGAACTTCCACTCATTGAGTGTGAGTGAGCTTTTAGAATGCGGGTGTTAATCAATATGTCCTTGGACAATGTCTATAAGTCCTGCAAATTGTCGTATCAATACGTTTGATATTGTTTAAGTCATCGTTTTAAGAAATAAAGTTTGACTTAGTTATTTTTATTTTGTGGCGAAGTATTTCGTTACTTTCTAACTTTTGTTTAATTTTACGTGATTTATTCCGGATTTATTTTAATTTTGGGATAAGTAATAGGACCTCTACATGCGTCTGGGATATCTCGTTTGTGGCTTACTTATAAGCATTACTTATTTAATGGATTTCTTATGTCTTAAACGGCGTCTGTAAAGTAGACCATGCCGTGAAATATTGCACATTAGGTACACGCATATAATGCGTGTGCTGTTTTGTGTCTTTCGTAATCAATCCATTGGAGAAGCCCCCCCCACAAGCTACAGACAGTGCTACTTTTACTTCAAGTATTTTTAAGGATGCTTTCTACCTTTTACTTAAGTACGTTTTGCCTCCAGTAGTTTTTACTCTTACTCAAGTCGTTTTATTGTTAATTACTTCTACTTTTACTCGAGTACAAATTCAAAGTATGACACCCTTTCGATAATTACGTGTCACAACTACACTGTTTTCAACTTAGGACCACCTTAAATGGAAAGGATTTCAAGTTTTTTTCTCATGGGCTATGCACACTGAGAGAAGCAGAACATCCTTCTTCAACACATGCATGAAAAATTATTCTTTATTTTGGCCAACAAATGTGGAAATAAGCTTTAACACGAAAACGAGGCTGCAGGTCATGACTTGGAGCCTCGTTTTCGTGTTAAAGCTTATTTCTATATTTATTGATCAAAATCCAAATTTATTTTCGCGCATGTGTTGAAGAAGGATGTTCTGCTTCTCTGTGCATAGCCCATGAGAAAAAAACTTGAAATCCTTTCCATTTAAGATGGTCCTAAGTCGATGGTATATTGCCTGTGTATATTGCCAAAGGATAAATTGGTTAAATTTTGGTTAAATTTGGATGGAAATTAGATGAGATGGCCGGCTGGCCAAGGCAGAGTAACTCTGAATCAGTAATTAGCCCATTGTATAATTTATGTATGATACATATTTTACGAAATAATAGTAATATCCCAATCTTTGATTGTCCTGATAAAACAGCCGCACATTTATGGGATCATTCCAAGACAATTTTGAATAAAAAGTCGAGCAATTAAGTCGGCGGACTATAAATACTAGAAATTGGACTAAATTGAACTGATCTCATGTTTAATCTTTCTAATTAGCTATACAAACAGCAATTAAAAATATCAGTTTGGCAACGTTTTAAATCCCTTTTGCTTGTAAGCGAATTTAATTTGATTTCAGAAGTTGTTTTTTAGTTTTATCATGTCACGTACAAACTGATAAGGTGGCAGGTCTCATTCCATATAAAAGCCCATTGGCAATTGTCTGGCCTCGTGTGTCTGCGGTTTCAGTATAATTAATGCATCGTCTAATATTAATCAGACTAATGGCCGCGCTATGGATATAATCGCAACGATAAAATCTACGAAATTGGCAATTATTGCGTATAGAATTTTTAATTCTGCATGTGTGGTTTTTGTCGGTTAATGTTTATGTGCAGTTATATATATACGAACTATTAAAAATAATGACTTTAGATTTACGGGGGCGTCTGTAAAAGCTGGAACATTCTGTAAAAAACAACTGTACGTATCTAAACAGTTCCATATAGTCATATAGAAACATAGGGAGCCGGTTGTTCGATATATTTTATAATTGCTTCGATTTTACAATTTTCTTTGACTTTGTTTTCAGAAAACTGAAAATGCTCCGTTCTTTAGAAAACCTTTGTCCATTGTTATAGCCATATAGGCCTTCTGCACAGCTGTGACATGATACTGAAACATGTACTGATGTACGGATAGTGAAATGCAAATCAAGTTAATTCTCATGAAGTATAACACATATTTGTTAATTTTTCAAAGAATGAAATTTCGTTGATTTTATATATATATTTATAATATAGCATTTGTAAATTCTGAACGCTGATTGGCTAAGAGCCGTGTTAATATAACTCAATGTCAACACGGAAACGTCGGAAAATTTCTTTCTTTATGTTTCTTTGTGCTATATTATAAAACAAATATAAAACATTCCACACAATTTCTCGTTTTCCCAATTTCCACTCGTGTTGATATATTAAACTGTATATCAACACGGAAAATGTTTTATATTTGTTAAATTTATCACATGAGGGCAAAAGTATAATAAGCGTCCAGGTTATCATAATCGGGACGAGGTGACATCAGTTTTATCGCTGGAGGGACGGATATCATCATGAAATGTCCCTTGTTCGCTGCGGTCACCGCTGACATTTATGATATCGTCCAGTTCCATGCAAGCGATCGATAAAACTGATATCGCCTCGCCGCTCATAAAATAACCTATACATATAAATTCTTACAGTTCTACGTTACTCGGAGT